GATAATTTTAAAAGTTTCCTCATCAGAAGTTACTCTAGTTATTCTCTAATTATTTCTAGTTTCTAATAAGATTAAAAATATAGGCTTTAGCCATTCATAAACAAGTAGCTAATTTTATCTGATTGTTTTATTAAAAGAATAATTGTCTTAAGTGTAATATATCACATTGCTATCGTACTATTGTAATACTCAATTAAGTAATTTTGCGCAGTTGATTATACGAACTAGTAACCGTAATACTTACGCATTCAGATTGCATAGTTTTTTTTAGTCATTTGAAAGCTTGATTTACATATTTAATAACTGGATAGTATTATTATTACACCGTTATCTTAAGCTGATAAGACTTTTGACTTCATATTATTATTTGCTAGCATCACACGCACGGATTTTCAGAGTTACAACAATGAGTTCAAAAACGCGTGTAATAGTAGACTTAGATGCTGGATCAGATGATGCACACGCCCTGTGTATTTTACTACACGCAGAAAAAATTGGTAAAATAATTATAGAAGCAATATGTTGTTCCATGGGAAATTCATCTGTAGACCATATCTGTAAGAATGTTGTCAGAATTCTTGAGACTGTTAAACGAACAGACGTAAGTATTAATTGACTACATAATGTAGTTTAACGTTCATATCATTTCTATTTGCTTTCTTCATTGTCCTAGTTTTACTATTTATATATGAAAACCGAATTAGACGCATACAGAAAAGGAGGGAGTAGTTTTAAAGATCAAAATCTCCTCAAAAAATTAAAAAAACTACACACTGTAAAAAACTAGGAATACATCGGTAGTCAAAAAAAAAGAATTGCGAATTTCAAATAATTATTAATAAAATACTTTACCTAAATAAAAAGAGTTTATTTTCTAATAAGTTGAAAACGATGTTTCGCCTTTGGATGTAGATGCTTTATCAAGGTAGGTTTCATAAAGCCTTTACACCCAAAGATGTAATGTCGCTGTATGTTTAGAACATGAACTCTTTTTGTCCCTATATTGCTTTTATTCCATTAATTCTACACGTAAAAATTTTATATTAAGAATATTAATCATCATTTGACACGTACATTTAATATACAATTTAATGCAATTAAGTTTTAACATTCCACAAAAACTAAGTTATAAAAAACTGACTTGACTTTCTAATTACAATGTTGAACATGTTTTTCTTTTATTAAATAAGTATGGGCAGATTCTTCATGAATCCTCAAACTTAAAGATTTTTTAACAGAAAATTTTTATTTTAAATTAAAGAATTAACAACAGCCCTAAACACATCATCTTCAGTTATAGATTATGAATAAGTAATTTTTTCTGTGTAAGTAATATCCCATTTGATCATGAGATGGAGATATATGTTTTTTTTTTACGAAACACTAAACGATAAAATATCTTGAAATTATTAATAAGCGATAGTTTAGTTTCAATTTTTTCTGTATGACCCCTTTGGAAAAATTTGGCTATATATGCGCCTGACACCTCAGCTACTCATTATTGTCAATAATAATTTTTAATTTCAGATACCAATTTATAAAGGTTGTTCTGGACCTATACTTCCAATGGAAAGTCCGATACCCAAGTTTTACGGGGATGATGGTTTCGGAGATTTAATTTATGATGAGGAACCAGATCTAAGTATTATTAAAAAAACACCATCAGCCATAGCAATGTCTGAAATAGGTGAAAAGTATCCTGGAGAAGTAACCCTTGTTTGTTTAGGACCTCTTACCAATGTAGCACTTGCTTTGAGATTGTTTGACAATTTCAAAAAAAATATAAAGGAAATTCATCTAATGGGTGGAAATTATACAGGTGCTACTTTTTCTTTATAATTACAATACAATATATACCTCTGCAATGCAAACTAATCAAAAAGATTTTTTACCTCACAAGCAGTAGTGTAACAAGAAAAAAATGAATTAGTACTGCTAGTTTTCATTTCAAATTAAGTTTTTGAATAACATGATTGTCACCTATACATATGTACACAGAAAAGTGTTTATAAAAGCATTTCATTTTTCTAGCTGTAGGAAATATTACATGCACTGCAGAATACAACTTTTACATTGACCCTGAGGCTGCTTATGCCGTCCTTGAAAGCGTAATATGTCCAGTTTATATGTGCACTTGGGAGTCATGTTTAAAAACCAATATTTCACTTGTAAGTACCACTTGGAATTATAAAAACTACAAAAGTAACAATACATTCCTTTTAGAACTGGCGGTGGAATAAACTAGGTAAAGTGCAACATCCAATTGTCAAACTTATTACTAATGTTGAAAAGAGTATTTATTCCAAAGAGTCCAAGACTTCCAAGTGGCTGCCATGTGATGCCTTTTTAGCAGCAGCTTTAATTTATCCAGAAAAACTAATAAAGAAGAAAAGTCAGCATCGTGCTTCAGTAGAGTTACATGGATCACAAACAAGAGCACAGATTGTTTTAGATCACTTAAAAATTAAAGAGCCTAATGTTACGGTTATTGAAAAAGTTGACTCAGACTTTTTCAAAGATCTTATCTTAGAAGTTTATGAATCATTCAATAAAACCTAAGAGTCGTCTAAAATCCAAATCTTTGATTATAATTTTTTTTCTTTTTCTCCATATAACAATGCATTAAATATTTATATTCAATCATTTCGGCAATATTTCTTGGCTTGAAACTGCATATTGTCAATTATTACACTTTAAAAATTACAGGCATCCTGTAGACAAGAACCAGATATTGGAAACTCTCATACAGACATTAACCTTATCATCCCCTTTCTTATAAATGATAAATAAAGTTTCACATCAAATTAAATATGAATGAAATCATATCAAAACATTTTTACACAATGGATATATTGAAAGTTTTGATAATCACTTCAGTAATGTCAGTAATATAAAGATATAAAATACTTTAACTGTTTATACAGAAGCAAACTTGTAATCAATTGATTTGATTATAACAACAAACATTGAAACCCTCCTAAATTTGGTAAACCCACCATACATACATGTTTTCAAGACACTTAGCATGTAAATTTTTAAGAGGTAAAAACGTGATGGAACAATATTAAACCCACTCTTCCCATTGTAAGATATCATATAATATGAAAATTACCTCTCCTAACACCTGTTTATAGATGACTCCTTATTTCAAAGAAATAACTTTAGAATTCAAACTAACAATACTGTACCTGCCACAAAAAAATATTTTTGTAATTGAAAATAAAACAAACAAATACAAAATTATGAATTTACTTACTAGTATTGTAAGGCTAAATTACAATGTTAGACAATTACTGAGATCCTGTGGAAAGAAGTGCTAGAAGTCCAGCTGTAGCTCCAACAGATAATGTATAATTAAAAGCAAGGGTAAAGCTGCGAAGAACATAAAAACTAACAAATATCACCAGTGCCAAAAACAGAGCATTATTGTAGAAAATGGAAAAAGTTGTGGCTTCAAAATCTGCAACTTCATTCTTTTTCCACAAAATTCTTTCGTCCTTTTCTTTTTTGCTCATTTTTTTATCTTCAGCTAACTTCTTTGTGAGTTCTCTTGTAACAGCATCTTCTCTTTTTACGGCAATCTTATGTTTTAAATTAAATTTTGTATTACGATAGGCCATGGCCATCAAATATGTTGATATAATAGTGACAACTACAAAAAGTACTAGAGATGACATAATGTCCATCATGTGTATTCTCCAGAACAGCCAAATTGGTACTGCTGATACAATTATTGCATTTCCATAAAAAAGGGCTGACGATTTTGTTGATACATTGCGGCTGAAATCTTGCAAAAGTAATTCTTCTTCTTTGGTAAATGGTTTTACAGATGTTTTTCCTGACATTTTTATCTGTAAGAAAAACATAAGAAAAATATTTGTTAAAGTACCAGGTATAATAAATTTCCAACTAACAATAAAATAAGTTATAAATATTACCAATTATTAATTAACAATTACTTCTGCAGTAACTTTACTTTCATGCACCTTCTGCATCAACTAACAACAAATAGAGCAGTGAAGAACTCAAAATAAGGGCAAAAGCAATTACTATTAATGCCACTCACTATTCGCTTACGTGTCACCTATGCACACCACATCACGACGTGTCACCCTTTCCCGTTACACCTTTACACTTGTAGTAGCACATGTACAATTACAACCATAGATAAAGATTACCCTTTGTAGATCTATTATCTATGATTACAACCATGCTTGATGACATGCCAGTGACATGTGTGATACAGAAATAAGAATGAAATGAAAAATGAATAAACATTTATTAAATGAATAACAACTTTATCTATGTTATTTGATATTGGTCATATTACTGACACTACCCATATTGTATAAGATCACGTGTGGTTCACTAGATGGCATTAAACTTATTTTTTGTTTTTTTCTTGAAAAATAATTATTAACAAGCACTTTCGTTTGCATATTTATTTATTTAATTCTGCAATGAGCTCACGGAGAACGATAACAATATTCAGAATTCACTTAATTTTAACAACTAACACAAGCTCTTAATTGACAAATCAATTACTTATAAAAAATCATTATCTCCAATATTTATAAACAATTGAATGGGATGAATATATTTGCAACAAAAAACACGAATATTTTTCATTCATTACAATACAAATTAAGTGTTTAGTTTTCTTAACACACAATATATTATTTCTCGTATCATGTTTACAATTTTCCATGTTATTTCATTATATACATCAAACTAATTAACAAGGGAAACACTCAACAATATAGTAATTTTGACTTTAATTTAAATTTTGCATTTGCTTTCGTATTTCACGATTAGACTCCAATAATACCATTAATTGGGCGTGAATGTTGTCATTTTTTTCTTCTATATTATCAAGAGCAGAATTTAAGGCATCCAGCTGTTTATCAAGCACTTCAAAATCTAAAACATTTTTTTAAAGAATTACTAGCATCGAATACTAAAATGAAACAAACCTTCAGGCGATATATCACCGAAATCATTATCAACATCCATTTCGGTATTGTCGGTTGAGGTTTCGGTATCCTCTCCGTCGTTTTGAGGTTTCACAGAGTTTTCACACATGATTATTTAAAAAGCAAATGTAATATGTGTGTTTTAGTTGATATTAGTCTTCTTGACCACTATATTGTATTTTGCAGAATTAATCACATGATGAAGTTGTATCAAATTTTGAACCTCAATTTGACAATTATAAATCAGGTTATGTTCCAAGGTCACAAATTTATCCACACTACATTTAACGTTACATAAATGCCAGGTTTTCATATTTTAAACGGGGCACTTTATTAATGAATAATATCAAGACAGAATTTTATACTAAGATTTAGTTTTTTTCTAAACAGTTAATAAATTCCAAAAAATTAACTTAATGAATTGAAAAAGTTAATTCCAGAACACAAAATCTAGAAAAACCATTTGATTTCAGTTAATCATAGGCATTTGATATGCCATTTTACAATGAACTTCTAACCACAGACTTCTGCTGCTAATTATGTAGTGGCGCATATTAATCAACACAAAGGAAATAATTGGAACAATATTACTATTATTACTTTGTCTTTGTTTTATTACGATAAACATATACTGAACAAACTATTATTCCAAATTAATCAATCACACAATCAATAAAAACAATAATGAACATGAATTTAAAATTAAACCTAATACTATAGCTAATTCATCCAAGAATTACAAAAATGGAATCATCATCAGTCTCAATAGCACTATCGACCTTCAACTGAAAAATAAATTGTGTTAAAAGAATTATCAAAACTATTAATACCGTGAGTTATTAAAAGAAAATATCAGAGAGAGAGTTCAAAATTGAAACTATATCATTTGTATTATCAAAATAATCAAATCATCATATGTAAGTTATTTTTTTCCAGCACAAAAACTGTTTACAATTTTTGTTGAAAAACTAAAGATTATTATTTTAAAGTATTACACTTTATACCCAAATTATATTCTTTTTACAAGAACTAGATGTAAATTGAATTTCAAATTGGATTATTTTCTTTGAATACTTACTGTATGAACTGAGATCTATTTCATCGGGTAGCTGAGTAATATTCACATCAAATCTATCTTGAACTTCGTTTAGAATCTTTGCGTCACTTTCTTCAGAAACGAATGTTATAGCGAGGCCTTTTGTACCGAATCGTCCGGCTCGCGCCACTCTGTGCAAATACGTGTCTGAATCCTCAGGCATATCGTAATTGAACACGATGTTTACCCTTTCAATGTCCATTCCACGACCAAAAAGATTCGTTGCAACAAGAATACGCTAAAAAATGAAGTATTTCTTTCATCAAGAAGAAAATATAACAGTTCAGTAAGAATAAAGTAAAACTATAAATCAGACTGACTTTGCCATCAATGCATCATAAAATGCTCTGGTGGAAACCGCGAAAGTACATAATAAATCATCATTTCAATTTCAAATTAGCATACAAGCTAAACACTTATTACTAATTTAATTATGAAATAAATAATACAAAACTCAAAAATAATATTTATGTCTATACCTTCTGAAAATCTTTAAATTGCTGATAACGTGACAATCTTTCTTCTTGATTCATGCCTCGATATCATATAATATGAAAATTACCTCTCCTAATACCTGTTTATAGATGACTCCTTATTTCAAAGAAATAACTTTAGAATTCAAACTAACAATACTGTACATACCACAAAAAAATATTTTTGTAAAATTGAAAATAAAACAAACAAATACAAAATTATGAATTTACTTACTAGTATTGTAAGGCTAAATTACAATGTTAGACAATTACTGAGATCCTGTGNCATCATAAAATGCTCTGGTGGAAACCGCGAAAGTACATAATAAATCATCATTTCAATTTCAAATTAGCATACAAGCTAAACACTTATTACTAATTTAATTATGAAATAAATAATACAAAACTCAAAAATAATATTTATGTCTATACCTTCTGAAAATCTTTAAATTGCTGATAACGTGACAATCTTTCTTCTTGATTCATGCCTCGATGAATGCCGATGGCAGGGAAATTTTGTTCCGTTAGTAATTGTGCCAATGCCACACACCTTTGCACTGACTTTACAAATATCACAACCTGTAAATTTATGTTCATTAGCTTTTCTGAACATTGTTCAAGTTTATTAATCTGTATTTACCTGATTAAATTCTAAAACGTCAAGTAATTCAAAGAGTTTTTTATTTTTTTCATTTTCCTTCAGTTTTACATAATGCTGTTGAAGACCGTGTAAAGTCAGTTTTGCTTCATCATCCACATAAACTTCCATTGGCTGTGAAAAAGGAGAACATATACAAATGTTGCCAAAGTATACAAAATCAGCAGTCTCGATGCACCAAAAATCAGAAATCTAAAGCCATCAACGTACTATACTAGTACTCCGGTGAAAACCGCGAAAGATTAAAAATATTCATCACTCAGCAAAAAAGAGCATTGAACGTTAATTTCCATGCTTTTTTTGTTAATTAGTAAAATATTAATTTGATATTGTTAAACTAATTAAAATATATATTTATATTACGGACAAAATAAAGTTTATCGGAAGACTACCAACTCGTTTTTATCTTAACATAGGTGTAAAAACGTTTTAAGGAAAGCAGTTGCGAGAAAATTATGTAGGGACATTTAACTTAATATATGAAACAAATAAAATTACACGGAGAATTAAAATATTTTCATAAATCAATTATTAATCCAATTGCAAAAAGAGGTACTTTCTTCAAAAGAAACCGAAAACAATAATTATTAAATTATTAATCATTAAACATTAGTATTTCAGCAGACTGGTTTTACATAATTAACTTTTTTGCAGAAAACATACAAGGTATGCCTTTTTGTATTAATTTGCATATTTGCAATTGAATTAACATAATTTCTGGGAAATGTGGTCAGTCCATCGCGTCTGCTTTCCACAATCGTAGCATCATGAGAAGATTAAAGTATACATGTCAAAAATGATCCGTCTAATGCAACTGCAACAGTGATGTCATCGCCCAGAGAGAAAGGGCCAAAGGCACATCATCTCTCCACCAATCTATAAGGCTGATCACCAACCATTGCGTATCCATTTATTCATTCAGTCCGTGAGATTGCTCGCATTCTCTCTCTTGATACGAATAACAATAATGATAAAAACGACGAAACATATTTTTTTGCGGTAGTACTCGAGGCGGTTGAAATGAAAACCAATAAAATTGGACCTTCGTTCTTCAAAGTTACACATTGATTCCTCTTCATGGTTAAACCCACCCAATTTTAAATATTACTTAAACGCGGATCAAAATCCATCAGATGCCTTGTTAGCAAAAACTAGGCGAAGTAGTAAATTTTGAAGCACTGTAGCGCGGCCAAAACATGTCTAACAGTTATGTCTGTCAAACTCTTCAAATTGAAACGAACGTCTACTCGTTGGGCTACAGTGCTCTACTACCTTGTTTGCACCCATCGGTTTTAACTTTCAAACGAGTCAAAATACAGAAATAAATTTTCCTTACACTGTAGCTCGACCAAAAGTTTCTCAAATTCGTCTTAAAATGATGAGAAATTAAGTGCCTGCTCGTTGGGCTACAGTGCACTAATAAGTGATAGTATCGCATATTAAATATATCAAATTTTTAACATTTGACTGCCACAATTGGAGGAATGTTGTGGTTGTTGTAGAAGTAGTAGTTATGAATAGAAGAATCACAAATTACATCTTGCATAAATTTCTTGCAAACAGGACGAATTTCTTTGCTAAGAGTGGCGCTGAACATCATCACTTGCTTATCGTGAGGTGTATTACGATAAATTTCTTGGACATCCCTCCTCATATCTGAAATAAAATTAAATGCACTTAGGAATAGTTGTACTTTATTTTTTTGCAGATTTTTGTTTAAATAATTCTCAGGATAGGCTCATTATACATCAACTGCAGTTTCAGCTGTCCCTACCTATAATTGTCATCACTGTATTTCTTATATTAATTGTCAATTCAAAACCAGGGGTGTACAGTACCTCAATTTCAATACAATTAATCATATTATTAAAAGTATTATAAAATATACAATTTTCTACAATATGTACTTTTTTACATTAAACTGAGAATGCTGTGTTCAATTCAGTTGCCGATATTGCTTCTTAAAATTATATTGTACTTGTTAATAACAATTTTAAATGATCTTTCCAAAATTCATCCCATAAGGGGAGCTGAGTTTGCTGCACCACGAGTCATGTAACAGGCGACGTCCATACCGAGTCATTACATAATTAACAAATAAATACAGGCTGCACCGCATCACGGACCGCGTAATTACTGCACCTTAACAAGGTTCTGTAGTCTTTATTGTTCCGATTATCCACAAATTTCTTGTTAAAACAATTCAATGATGTTTACTTTGCCAATGACATGTCTGTCTATATCATGTGACATGTGACTGTGAGAACTTAAGAATAAGTTAAAAATTAGATTTGAGATTGTGTATTTTTCCTTGTACTCTTAATCACCTTGCAAGTAACATTACTCTGCTTACATTCGGTACACAAATAAACAGGTGAAAGAAACTAAAAATATTTGGTGTTCATAAATTAAAACTGAACAAAACTTATTGCAAATCTGTTATGGTTCTTTTATTAGCCTTGCCAGGTGTGAAATTTTAACCTAGGGAGGAGCCTGTAAAAATATCTTAGAACCTCCCAACTCTTTACAAAGCAAATTTTAAAAATTATATTCAATAACAAAATTAAGAGTAAAAACATGTTTAAATATATATACAGTAGAAACTCTTGTTTTCTTGTTGTGAACTAAATAATTGAATAGGTACATCCAAAAAGGTAGACCATGAGTGCAACAAGCAATAAGGCAATCTGTTTTCCAGCAAGTAATCTAAATAGTGGTAGCAAAATTTAAATTAAACAGCCATCTTTTTAGATTTAAATTGAAGCAAGTGCCTTTGGCACTTTCTTGCAGTATTTTTTTAAGTGATTAATAAAAAAATAACCAATTATGCAATACCAACTTATATAAACAAAACTTACCCAATAATTCCAGCATTTTGTCGCACTCATCCAGAATAAAGTGTTTAAGATGTTTCAAATTGAGTTTCTTGGATCTAACAAGAGCAAGTATTCTTCCTGGAGTTCCAACAACAATATGTGGACAATTGTTTTTTAGTACTTCCTCGTCCTTCTGAATTGGAAGTCCCCCAAAAAACACCCCAACTTTTATATTGGGCATGTATTTACTAAAACGTTCATACTCTTTGCTTATTTGGAATGCCAATTCTCGTGTGTGACACATTACAAGAACATAAACAACATTTTCTGTAGGCTCCAACTGTTGTAATGTAGCCAAAACAAAAACAGCTGTTTTTCCCATACCAGACTTTGCTTGACACAATATATCCATACCAAGGACTGCCTGTGGTATGCATTCATGTTGCACTGTAATAAATTAAAATATTAAATCAAATTGCAATTATTATAGTAGTTTTAAAAAATAATATATTTACATCACTGTTTATCAATCATATTGCAGTTACTGTAGTATTTCTAAACCAATAATATATCAATATCACCTACCATACATGCCATGATATAGGTGGTAACTGAACTTATAATTTGGCAAAAGCATGGCATTACACTCAATTGTTTTTGCACATTCATTGAATCAGGTTAGGTTTCTGGGTAGCGTTGCCATTTCCCTTGCTTAGTTACAATCATTTTACCATCCTCAGTACAAGGTACAGGTGCATTACCCAGAAATCCAACATACTCATTCAATATTGGCTGTGAAACAGTACATTAACTATTGCTGCATAAGCACTTAGTGCAACAGAAAACATAAAGCCTACAAACTACTCTGTGAAATAAAGTTTAAAAGAACAAGTTTCAATAATACACATTTTACATTTCCTAAATCTCTTCACATATATTCAAAATCCCTTGTCAACAATCAGTATCTTCAATTGACAACAGTAACTGTTAATAGAAAGTCTTTCATTTTCAACAATTTTCTAAGAATAACAAATAAAGAATGATCTAGTAATCGGGTTAGGAGCCCAATTTTTAAGTAATATTAATAAATATGTATTCTTACTATATGACACCACCTGACGGCTGATATAATGTATTTTACACAAGGTACTGTTCTGCACGAATGAAACATGTTCTTAACATTCTAATTAGCTCCTATAGCAACTAAATTATTAATACAGCATGCAAATAACAAAATACAGCTGCTAATCAGCTTCGTAAACATCGTAACATCGCAATAGTATCTTACCTTCAGACGGATGCTCAAAACCACAATCAACAATCGCTCTCAAAATTTCTGGTTTCAGAAGAAAATCTCTAAACCCAGAACTGTGAATAGACACATAAGTACCTTTCACACCTTTCTTCTGATCCGTATTGTTGGCTGTATCATTTGCAGTCTGCTCAGGATTTTCTTCATCTTCATAATCAAGAAGATCGTCAGCGTCAGCCATTGTGATAACTGTTAGGATTAATTACAAAAGAATGAATAAAGGAAGAAATTGACGCCGCAAAATGGCGCCAGATTTCCCAAAGATAAATACCACGTTTTTCTTTAACCTAAAGTATACTACTTAAACTAAAACAGATGTTACTTACATGGGTTATTTAGTCGATAAGATTAATTACTACTTTAAAATAAATATTTGCAGTACACTTTAATAGAAAATACTCGTTTGAATACGAAGAGCATCTGCACCACTCACAACAGCTCCGCAACGAATCGCCAAATGACTGCCAACGACGATTTACAGGAAATACGTATATAAATGCCACTTCCACGACGTCATTTCCGTTATATTTCAGTTTCACCAACCTTTACATACTTAACACACCACACTCGACAGATTACCATAGATCCAATGCATAGATCACACTACACTAAAAGCCATTGAAATGGAAAAGTAATCCCAATAATGTTAAAGCGGGAATACTGTAGCAGGTCGTAAATATAAGTGAAATTTGTCTGATGGGCGATTCGTGTTTTTTTATTTTGATAGGTTTTTCTAATCGTAAGACCTAAGATATTACAATTTAAGCTTCTAACGACCTTTGTCCCTTTCATAAAGTGAACCGTTAATTCGACTTTCAGCTGTTTTTATAAAATACTATTTTTATCAGAACAAAATCTTGCAATTTCAGCGTATCAAGACGGTGGTGTCTTGATACATGGTACAAATCTTTAATAAATCTAATACAAATATTATACATATATTACTCATTATTACTGATGGAAACTAACTAACTAACTAACGTTGTCAAGTCTAATCCGTTTGTGTCCCGTGAAATGCGAAATTTAAAATTTGAAAATATAAATTATTACAGTAACATTTTATTAGCAATAAGGTTGAATATTTGAATCAGGCCAATACAACCGACTAATTGTTGCATGGAAAGAATACCAAGATGCTTGGACAACCTACACTCCCTTCATGAAGTATGCTTTCAATCCAATATCACAATGCTTCCAAAACGGGAAAAGCATAAGTTGACTATCAAATAAAAAGAAATACAAGGCAATTATAATCTTTAATGACAACATTAATGTATCACCACTATTACCATATTGATGTACTGGCACATGCGCAATAACTTCTTTATGAATTTTCATGGTCACTTGTTAAAAAAAATATTGTTTATATATTATATATAAAAAAATAATGACAATATCCTAATCATAATTAAACATTAAGATACAGTCACAATAACCGAGGCTTTTCAAAATTTCGGTATCTAGAATGTGTATCAACTTCAATTTTGTAATATTACCATTTGATATGGTATGAATAAAAATTTGCTTTTATATTTCTGAACCAGAACCCTCCAAAGGAATTCTATTCTGTGGTCTCCCGATACGCAATAACAGCAGAAAACCATTTAAATATAAGATAATCAGATTATCTAAATTGTTTTATAAAAAATTACTTATCTAAATATTTATTACTTCATTAACTATTAAAAACATAATGTTACCACTTTCAAATAATAAATATTTATTTACAATCTAGATTCAGCATCTATAATCAGTAAGGATATTCTGACACACGGTAACTAATGATGATCCAAAAAGAACCTAAGCCCGCAATACCCACATGCATGATTACCAGGTTGATCCTAGAACAATAAAATTAAACAGCAATTTTAAATTGTAAGCTGTTCCCTCTAAGTAAGGATTTTGTTAAATAAGTAAATTATATATAATAATAGCTAACCAAGTTTATGAACACTTTCGGATGCCCTGTAGGGCCACCACCACCATCACAAGCAACCACCCTCTCATGACTTGGCTTTGGTGGTTCTTGGTCTACTAGACTAACTGCCCAATTAGGATTTACATGTTTCTTTTTGTCAATAAATCTAACTAATCTGTAATCTTCTGAATCCCATTTCTAAAACCAAGCAACTGAAATAAATTTGAAAATCCATAATTAAGCACAGTACTTGTCCGGTATGAGTTTCAATTTCTTGTGGAATCCATTTGGAAGATTTGCGGATAATTTGAGAAGACAATTGTCTTGCTTTTGAAAGATTATTCACAAAAGAAGCTACGTTAAACATTTTACATAACTTCAAACTGATTTATTTGTGGAATATTTGTATGTCCAACTCGCCAATTCCAACTCCAATTATGTATATGTTATGTACGTATTGTGTGATTATCATAGATTAAAGAAATATATACTCTAGATAATTATGAATGCTGGTTATATACGTATCATAGACAAATACATATCATACATTAAAGTACATATTATGTATGTCCTCCGATGGTCCGTCCAGAATCCAAATCTAAATTTCCAAATCAAGTAGGCGTCTAATTCAAATGAGCCCAGAGCGAAAAAAATATTTTAATAGATTAATTATGATATGATGATAATTATTAATATGTATTGGGTCGTTTGCTCATCAGCCTTTGTTGGTGTTGGGTATAAATTCTAGAAGTACAGAGTCCGGCCCATAAAGACTATTAATAAATTCCAGTATTTAAATGCAATAGCATGTGAACATCCTATGAAAATCGTTCAGAAAATTTCATAAAACAGTAGAGAACACTGAGAACTGCAGAAATAGATCAAATAATTCAATATTTTTCAACTGAAATTGGTGCTCTAAGGTAATTGTAATTTAAATTCACAGCGATCGCAGCGCTCTCTACTGAAATTTTCTATGACTATGACACTATAGATTGTCTTGATCTATGGAGGTTGTACTCCATATCTATAGTCTCATGGGGAACCGCACAAACATAATAGACTTATCTATGACATAACAAAACATAATATATATATACTATTACATATCACTATTACATATACTTAACCTTAAAAATGCAAACAAGAAGTACAGATATTTCAAAATTGTTACTTATTTTCAGCTTAATTAATATTAAATATAGTAAAGAATTAGATCCGTTAGGTTATGTAGTTTATTGTCCATGTAATGGTACGTTTTTGTTGTTTCGCTGATTTTCAGTTTTAGTAAAATTTAACAAATTTAGGTCGTTTTGGCAATCAAGCTGACCATTTACTTGGGGCTTTAGCATTTGCTAATGGTTTAAACAGAACATTAGTGCTACCTTCGTGGGTTGAGTATAGATACGGCGAACTAAAATCTCGACAAATTCCTTTTAATACTTATTTTCAAATAAGACCCTTACAAAAATTTCATAAATGCATTACAATGGAAAAATTTATGCATCATATAGCACCAACTGAATGGCCCCCAGAAAAAAGAATATCGTTTTGTTACACCAGTAGAGGTAATTTTTTTAAAATGATTTTATTCAATAAGTTGTGTATACATTTAACTGGCTCAACCTGTAACATTGTAAATAAAATTATGTTTCTGTAATTGTAAAATGTAGATTAGTGGCTTTAGTATTCTACTAGGGGTATGAAAGATACATGCCAATTGCTACAATATAATATATTATTATGTTGTAAATTATAGGTGAAGGAGAATCATGTAATGCTAAAGAAGGGAACCCTTTCGGTTCTTTTTGGGATACTTTTAGTATTGATTTCGTTGCATCAGAATTTTACTCACCTTTGCATTTTGATGTTCATCACCACGATATGGCAAAACAATGGAACGAAAGATACCCTTCGAGGGAGTGGCCCGTTTTGGCCTTTACAGGTAATTTTTAAATTATGTATGGTTTCAGTATCATTACTGCACATTTTAGAATTTTTGTATTCAAATTACTAATTTATTATTTATTTTGTTTTTATTCATTAACAGGTGCTCCAGCAAGTTTTCCAGTACAATTTGATAATTTATTTCTACAGAAGTATTTAATTTGGTCAGAAAGTATTTTAGATAAAGCCAATCATTTTATAAAGAATGTCTTACCAGAAGGTGCTTTTATTGGTATTCATTTACGAAATGGAATCGATTGGGTAAGAGCTTGTGAACATATACCCCAAAGTCCAAATTTGTTCTCAGCCCCTCAGTGTCTAGGATATAAAAATGAGAAAGGCAAAGCAACAATGGAAATGTGTCTACCAACTAAAGAAACTATAATAAGACAACTAAAACGTGTAATAAAAAAGTTTAATAATGTCGAAAATAATAAGGATAATCCAATAAGAAGTGTTTTTGTGGCTTCAGACAATAACCACATGATTGATGAATTAAATGATGCTTTGAAACGAATGGAAATTAAAGTTTTTAAAAACCACGATTCTTCACCTCATGTTGACCTAGCCCTTTTAGGAAAATCAAACTATTTTTTAGGTAATTGCATTTCGTCATTTAGTGCTTTTGTTAAAAGAGAAAGAGATGTTAATGGATTTCCTTCCTCATTTTGGGGGTTTCCAGTAGAAAAAACTTCTATAAGCAGTTCTAAGAGAGAGAATCATGACGAATTATGATAAATATGTTCCACAAACTATACAAATGATTTTAATTTATTTGTAAAAATTAAGATTAGATTTATAAGAAAATGTTATTCTTGCTATTACAATGATCAGATATAGTATTTGTTGAGTGTTATCCATTGTTTCGCTATAGCTTTTAGGTGTAATTTTGTAATTGGGGTTGTTAGTCATTTAAATAAGTTACATTTACTTTATTTTGTTTACTTTGCAAACAATTAGTTTATTCTTAGGTACCTTTTCCATTGTATATTTGTATATTGATTTTTAATGATAGGTGTGTCATTAGGGGTTTATCCCAACATAATTGTATTTCAAATAGATCCTATTCCTTATCTTTATTTTGCCGTCATAAAATCTATTACTATTTTCGTTAGAGTACAATGGTCGATACAATTGATCAATACCAAGAATTGTTGCACGCTGGACACTTGCACGTACACCCATCTCTCCCTTTCTCTTCTTACCGAACCGCACCCCTTATACTCCACTTTCTTATCTTGGACCAACCACCCTGTTTCTTCTATTCCTAATCCAATTAATGTTTCTGAACTTTACTAACTCCACCTACTCTCCCTTTTAATCCAATTATTGTTAATATCCGAAAAAAGGATAAAAGCACTTGAATCATCAATCAGAAAGAACCGAGCGGCATGGCCTAGAGGTCTAGACCATTGCTTAGCATTCGGGAGGCCGCCGGTTCGATTCCGGGTCCGTCTGCCTTGGTCCAAGTTTTTCTGTGGTTTTCTTGGATCACTTAGGCAAATGCTGAGGCAGTATTATTCCACAGATAATCTTTCATTCTCTTCTGTCTTCATTTCGTCCGTCTCAACTTTCTCACCCGAACCACCACCCACCCATTCCCACGATTCCTGAAAGCAGGCTGAAGAGGGCCTTTCGCCCTACATTCCGGCATAGTCCGGATGGACTGCCCGCCCACTAGCATTACTGGCTGGTGGGAATGAAACACCCAAAAGTTTTTTTTTTCAATCAGAAAGAAGAGTGTAACAGTAACAATCATAAGACAGAAGTGTTTCGTAAAATAATAGTTAAGTGATATTAATATTTTTTAGCGTTAGGTTTTTATTTATGTTGCAAGTTTGAATAAACACAACATTGAAAAACTAACGTGAGTTTTAATCATAAAACAAGTTCGTCAAACCAGGCGTCAACACTAATGGTCCTTCGAGCCGGATTGGTTTTTACACAAACAATTTTGCGAAGCAGCCGTTTTTTGACATCAACAACCAGCGGAACAGTGAAATTGTACAAGTGAAAATTCAACGGATTAGCGAGTGAAGTACATAGTGTGTGCTATTCCAAAACTATTAATTTTGCGAAGCAGCCGTTTGAACGTCGCCGATAGACATCGGAACAGCAAAACAACAAACAGACAAGGATATATACACATTCACAGCAAGGAATCTTGGACTACGATCATCAGACCCAACAACGACAACGGAGCCTATTTTGGGGTAAGCTTGTTTAAAACTATCACAAATCCTATTCCTATTTTTCTGTCGTATTTAAATCTCTCCTTAAAGCAATGGCTAACCTTGATTTGCTCAAACGTAAACAAATCGACATTAAAAAACGTTTAACCCGATTTCGCCATATTATTGCGCAAAATCAAGAATCACCCGATGTAGAACTTCTTCAAATAAAGCTTGAGGCGCTTAAAACACATTTTGAGAATATGTACTTTTTATCGAGTAGTAGCAGATACAACGCGTCTAATTCAGGGTAGAGCAGAAGATAAGTCTCATTCTACCGCCATTCACAGTTTACCATCTTCTCGTCCAGTAATGAGTCATTTACCTGAGGTAAAACTAACAAAATTCGATGGCGCAATCGAGGATTGGCAGTCATTTTATAGCTTATTTGTAAGCAAAGTGCATTCCAACACACGAATTTCCAATATAGATAAGTTCTATTATTTACCAAATTCACTCTCTGGTAAAGCGGCTCAAATGATCAACGCAATCGAGTATACGGAGGAAAACTATCAAGAAGCATGGAATATTTTACTGAAAAAATACGATAATTCAAGGCGCGCTATTCTCAAGCATTGGGCAGTTTTGCACGAATATCCACGCTTACAACGTGACAATCCTTCATATTTGGACGATTTCACCGTAACATTTCGCCAACACGTTAGATCTCTTAAGGGTTTAGGAGAACCAGTGGAACACTTCAGCAGCGTATTCATTTTTCTATTGTTAAACAAAATAGGAGAAAACACCAGGTTTGCTTGAGATACCACCCTTGCTGATAACAAAATGCCAAACTACGAGACACTGCTGCAGTTCTTGGAACGACGTGGAAGCTGTTCGGAGACTTCAACAAGTCGAAAGGCGGGTGATGATCGACAGGGTCATTTACATCACAAAAATAATGTTAAATATGGTCAACACAAGACCAAAGTCTTTCTTACAAAAACGGACAAAAAGGTTTACGGCCTTTGTCCTATATGTCAACAGTCGCATTCCATTTACAGATGTGATCATTTTCTCGCAATGTCCTGGGAAGAACGTTAAGCTGCGGTTTATAAAAATAAACTGTGTTATAATTGTTTAAAATCAGGGCACAGTTTAAAGGATTGTAGAAGCGGTAATTGTCGGTCCTGTGGGAAGAAACACAGCTCACTTCTACATACAGATGAGACGACCTTCTTCACCATAAATTCTACACCCCAAACATATCAAGTTGGTGGCTCATCAAAGGACATCGCGGCTTCTTGACTAGCACAAAATCCAGCCAGGTCATTTCTGTTGGACTCGGTTGGTTGCGAGGATATCTTGCCCATGGCACTTCTTCATGTAATTGACAAGAATAAATTACAATTAATAAAACACAAAAAACTGCTATCACCAGAAGAAGCAGTTTGTAAAGACCATTTTTCAAAACATGTAACACGTGATTCAAATGGACGATATACAGTCGCTCTACCATTCAACGAAGAACAATAACAGTTAGGCGAATCGTTTACCATGGCGTTGAAGCGGTTAAATTCACTACAAAAACGATTTTTGAAATGCCTTGATCTTAAAACAATACTCCGCGGTCATTAATGAATATCTGAAGTTAGGTTACATGGCTAAAATAACGGATACATCAGTCAAAGGATACTATCTTCCTCATCAACCCATTACCGTACCAGAGCAGCAGCATGAAATGAGAAAACTAAAATGTTTGAATATAACTAATACAGATATTAGTATATTGTACAAATTTTCGCCCTTTCTCACACTACAGCGAATAATCGGTCTATGTCTTCGTTTCCGTCGAAATTCGAAGTATAAAGGAAATTTAACTAAAGAGGAAATAAAAGGTGCTCACAGGAGGATACCAAAACTAATCCAACAAGTAGAAATTCAAGAAGAGATTAAGAAACTGCAGAAGGAACAAACGATATCAGATAAAAGCAAGCTGTTATCACTCAATCCTTTCTTAGACAAGGACGGAATCATCCGATAAGTGGGACGCCTTCAGAAATCCCGGTATACGTTCTATAAAAAACATGCAATTCTGTCTCCTAAATCAAATTACAAAACGAAACTTAATGTTCAATATTTTCATGATGTAAGCTTGCATGGTGGCGTCCAAGCAACCCTGTACGTACTCCGCCAACATTATTGGCTGATCGACGGTCGAAATCAGGTTCGACACGTATTTCGTTCTTGCAAAAAATGTACTCGTTTCAATCCACCAAAGGTTGACTATATAATAACAAACAATACAAACAAAAAGGTTTATGTATCGGTATTTGTCTGCTTATCGACAGAATGCGTTCATTTGAAGGTAGTTAGCAATCTTACAACTGAAGGGTTTATATCGGCGTTAAAACGTTTCGTTGCAAGGAGAGGCCTTTGTACATCAATTTATGCCGATAACGCTACCAATTTTGTAGGCGCGAACAGGGAATTGAAGGAAACATTAGCATTACTTATGTCCGAGGAACACAACAATAAAGTACAAGAATACTTAGGTAACAAGGGAATCGCATGGCATTTTTCACCGCCACAAGCACCACACTTCGGAGGAATCTGGTAGGCTGCCGTGAAATCATTCAAGCATCATCATCGTTATTCACCTTCGAGCAATTCAATACTTTAGTCATTGAAATAGAATCAATCCTTAATTCTCGTCCTTTAACTCCCATGTCCTCAGATCCGCAAGACCTAATACCACTTACCCCCGCACATTTCCTCATAGGTGATAGTTTTACAAGTTTACCGGAATTAAATGTTTTTAATGTACCTGATAATCGGCTATCTCTTTGGCAACACGTCCAAAATCAATCCTTTTGGATCCGATGGCACAAAGAATGCATCCATGAGCTTAATATTCGGTGCAAATGGCTCAAAGGAACTCATCCCATACAAATAGGTAGCATGGTCCTAGTACGTGACGACAACGTGCCGCCTCTGCATTGCGTTTGGGTCGGGTGACAGAAATACATCCAGGTCAAGACAGTGTAATTCGCGCAGCGACAATCAGGACAGTTGTTGGTGAAATTAAAAGATGTGTAAAAAAGTTGGTACCATTACCGGTAAGCGCGAGTGACAGTGATAGAAAAATAACTCAAAAATTCACAGCGATCGCAGCGCTCTCTACTGAAATTTTCTAGATATGACTATGACACCATAGATTGTATTGATCTATGGATGTTGTACTCCTTATCTATAGTCTCATGGGGAACTGCACAAACATAATAGAATTATCTATGACATAACAAAAGATAATGTCAGAATAATGTTTATATACTATTATCACTATTATATATACTTAACCTTAAAAATGCAAACAAGAAGTACAGATATTTCAAAATTGTTACTTATTTTCAGCTTAATTAATATTAAATATAGTAAAGAATTAGATCCGTTAGGTTATGTAGTTTATTGTCCATGTAATGGTACGTTTTTGTTGTTTCGCTGATTTTCAGTTTTAGTAAAATTTAACAAATTTAGGTCGTTTTGGCAATCAAGCTGACCATTTACTTGGGGCTTTAGCATTTGCTAATGGTTTAAACAGAACATTAGTGCTACCTTCGTGGGTTGAGTATAGATACGACGAACTAAAATCTCGACAAATTCCTTTTAATACTTATTTTCAAATAAGACCCTTACAAAAATTTCATAAATGCATTACAATGGAAAAATTTATGCATCATATAGCACCAACTGAATGGCCCCCAGAAAAAAGAATATCGTTTTGTTACACTAGTAGAGGTAATTTTTTAAAATGATTTAATTCAATAAGTTGTGTATACATTTAACTGGCTCAACCTGTAACATTGTAAATAAAATTATATTTCTGTAATTGTAAAATGTAGATTAGTGGCTTTAGTATTCTACTAGGGGTATGAAAGATACATGCCAATTGCTACAATATAATATATTATTATGTTGTAAATTATAGGTGAAGGAGAATCATGTAATGCTAAAGAAGGGAACCCTTTCGGTCCTTTTTGGGATACTTTTAGTATTGATTTCGTTGCATCAGAATTTTACTCACCTTTGCATTATGACGTTCATCACCACGATATGGCAAAACAATGGAACGAAAGATACCCTTCGAGGGAGTGGCCCGTTTTGGCCTTTACAGGTAATTTTTAAATTATGTATGGTTTCAGTATCATTACTGCACATTTTAGAATTTTTGTATTCAAATTACTAATTTATTATTTATTTTGTTTTTATTCATTAACAGGTGCTCCAGCAAGTTTTCCAGTACAATTTGATAATTTATTTCTACAGAAGTATTTAATTTGGTCAGAAAGTATTTTAGATAAAGCCAATCATTTTATAAAGAATGTCTTACCAGAAGGTGCTTTTATTGGTATTCATTTACGAAATGGAATCGATTGGGTAAGAGCTTGTGAACATATACCCCAAAGTCCAAATTTGTTCTCAGCCCCTCAGTGTCTAGGATATAAAAATGAGAAAGGCAAAGCAACAATGGAAATGTGTCTACCAACTAAAGAAACTATAATAAGACAACTAAAACGTGTAATAAAAAAGTTTAATAATGTCGAAAATAATAAGGATAATCCAATAAGAAGTGTTTTTGTGGCTTCAGACAATAACCACATGATTGATGAATTAAATGATGCTTTGAAACGAATGGAAATTAAAGTTTTTAAAAACCACGATTCTTCACCTCATGTTGAC